AATTCGGTTCGCGACCAATTCGGTTCGCGACCAGAGTCGTGGAACGAATTAAGTTCGTGAACCGAGGTACCACTGTATTTTGCTCCAGTTTATATTTTTATGAACTTTTTTATGAACAGAGTTGAGACAGGCAGCCTTATAGATGCTTAAAATAATAAATAACTGCATGGTCCAAAGCCCACAGACCACTTGCTACAACCAAGGCTGGGGGCCACCTTTGGATCCTTCTCACCCCCCAAGAATAACACCGCTTTGCAGTGACAGCTGAGAAATAAGTCTACCCAAGGGCTGGAGCAGGATGCTGCTGGAAAGTGCCTGGACCCTGAAGTTCTCTTGCATCGCTTACTGTCCTCCCTGTCTGCCTTTTACCCTTTCCTGTTGCTTCTGATCCAGCCCCTCGTGGGGGTTCCCCAATCTTGCCTCCATCTTCTTCCCCCAGAACATGAGTTCAGACTATGAGATTTCCTTCAAGAAGAGAAGCTGCTAGTTCTCTGACAGAAAAAACATTGTTTGGAATGGCAGGGAAATCATCATATGATTCTGGACAAGCTCGTGTTTTCCTGGAGATGCCCTTTCACCCTCCCTCCCTCCCTCCTTTCCTCTTTGGGGCTGCCAAGAAGTCTCTGTGTCTGAATGTGGCTCTTGGCCAAAACAGATTGCTCACTGTGAGCTACGATAATGTCAAAATTGGAGAACTGGGGTTTCAAACAGAGGATGGACTAGATGTGCGTTGTGATGGCACTTGACCCAGGAAGGTTTGCAGGGATTAAGTGGAAAATGAACCATGCGGTCTGAAGCTTTTGGCACTCCCAGATACGTGTTTCTTGCATAAGGATGGCGGCCGACGCATCTGCTGTCCCTTAGTTCCCTGTGGTCAACCCATCCTTCGTGAAGTAGAGGCAGTTGACCGCTGCAAGATATTTGGGTGTGTGTTACCTGATATGAGAGCTTCTGCTTCCCAAGGCCAGGACTTGCCAGGAGCGTGAATGCGAGAGGGCCAGTGTACCCCGCTCTGGCCTGGGGGATCCCCCTGAATCTGATTAGCCAGTGAAGGAGCAGATTGTGGGACCCAGTCTCATTCTCTGTAGCCTTTTTCCAGGCTAAAAATTTTGCATTGGAATGAATTCATAAATCAGGACTTGACTGTTCGTGAGAACACCATCTTTTGCTCCATGCCTGGTAATAAATTATTGTTCAGCATGAATTTGGTCAAGGAGTATGTAATCTAACGGACTGGTTTGGGTTGGATTTTCTTTTTAGAGGAATCTCCTTTTTGGCTTCCGCTGTATGGCAGTGTGTGTTGCCGCTTAGTCGCTCAGCCGTACTGCATGACCCGGGATGCGATGGCCGGATTTCTTAACCAACAGGTAAAAACACTCAGTGAGTCTCCACCGGCACTATCTTTTGTTCGGGTGGCGTCTTTTTCAAGAATTGGGAAACCATTGCCGTCGCTGCCCTTATAAATCAGGCCTTTGGCAAAGGAGCAGGAGCAGTCGGGGGAGCTGAAGGAGGTTCTGCCTGTATCCCGCGTGACCCCCAACCTGGCTGGCCCGCTGAGGAGCACAAAAGAGGCAGGCGGGTTTCTCTCACGCCTCCCAAACCCATGGGAGTTCGGAACTCTTCCCCTTCCTGAGACCAGCATCAAGCCACGCTCCAGGCCTGGGGCCTGATGGGTTGCCGGTTGACGTCAGAGAGGAAAGCCATGTTTAGTCCGGGGGGGCGGCCCAAAATCAGGAGGAGCACCTTTTTCGACTACAAAGACTACTTGAGAGGCTCTCTTTGGCCAGATGTTGTGGCTGTGGGGGAAGCTGGTCCACCCCCGACCTCCACCCCCCAGGGCAGCCTGTGGGTCAGTGGGGAGATCACTGGGGGTTGAAAGAGGAAGCCAAGTCGTGGTTGGTAGAAATGCATTTGGAGCCTTCCTGTTTAAGGTGCCACTGAAACAACGCTGGAGATCTAGCGTGTCTCTTTTGGGAGGCCACATTCTAAGTAAAGAAAACTACCTGGCAAGAAAATAGGAAATTGGAGATTTTGGAATTTGGAAAGTTTTGAAATTAGAAATAGGAAAATGAGGGTTGTGATTAATGGTAAGATCACAGCAAATAAAACATCTTCAGCCCAGAAGTGTTTTAGTGCTATCAGGTATTTGAGGCTGAGTGTTTAAAAAACAAAGCATCTGGTCTCTTGCTAAATCTTTGCTATCCAAAGAATACTGGAATAAATGTATGGAATAAATGTTTATTACATCCAGGTAAATCCATATTAATTAATTGGGACCTACTCCGAAGTGCATCTTTAGAATAGCGCACTGTGGTATTAAGGGATGACAGAGTCATAGAAAACAGGGTCTCTTATTTTAGAAGAAAAATTATTCAAAGAGCTCTTAAACTGCAATTAGCTCTTAAATTTCAGCGATCAATTCTTAAATTGCTACCCCCAGCAGAAACTCAGGCAGCATAAATACCTTCTTAAACTTCATTGCCGTCTTCAGCTGAGCCTCAAGGCTTCCTGCAGAACAGCCCCTCTCCTCCCAGGGCGCCGATCACCCGGGCTATCCACGGACACCGCAGCCAGGGTGCTGTGACGGAGACGGAAAGGCAGCAGGCCTGGCCCCCTCACCAGGGAGGGAGGGTCCTCCTGCTCGACTCGCCAGGAGGGCCTGCTCTCGGCCTGAGCGTGGGAGGCGTCCCGGAGAGGCAGGCGAGGCCCACTGGGGGTCTTTAAAGGCCAGCTCCAGTTAGTAAGCCTTGTATGGGCCTCGTGGCTTCTCCTTGCCTCAAGGGGAGGATTTCCTTCTTTTCTGCTTCCTTTTGTAATGCCCGAACTTTACTGCTGCTGGTTTTGTCTTAAGGGGTCATTTCAGGAAATACGCTGCATGCCGTCACTATCATTTCGGGTTCTGTGGCTTTGCCACTGAGTCCTTTTAGTGAAAGGTTTTATCTCGATTATGGGGTCATCTGTGAATACGTGGGTGCTGGGGGTCCGGATGCCACGTGAATGTGGGCGAAGAGACTGGACGAACAGGGCCGGCCAAGTGAAGATGAGCCCCTCTCATCGGTAGCGAGACAGCATTTCTGCTGGGGCTTTGGGGGGATGCTCTAGGCCGCCACAGGTTGCCCCCTCTAATACTTGCTTTAGCCGTCAATGAAATATTGCCATCAGTGTCCTGAAGGCCATTGGACTGGCTGAGAATTTCTCTCTCCGGGAGGGGCTTCTTCTTTGCCTGAGAGTAAAATAATCTTTGGTGGCAATCTCTGACGGGGGCGTTTCTTACAGCAGTCAGCGGGGATCCCGGGGGCCTGGAGGCGGCGGTACTGCGTGCTGAGAGGTGCCAGACTGCTCTGCTATTCTGCCCCTGAAGAAAGGGAGGCCGATGCGGAGCCCGCTTTGTCCGTTTCCATCAACCGGGTAATATAAACATCGCTTAATCAGCTTAACATCAAGTTTTTGTGTTCTTGTTACAGTTCGTTCATCTTACCTTGACTAAATGTTTGTGTGTGTGAAGGGCGGCATTCCCTGTGTGGGAAATGTGGGCTTAAGAGCAGGGGGCGGCAAAAACAGCACCCCTTTTCGACCTGGACTGGAACTGAGTGGGATCTGCGCCCAGGGGGTTTTCCCTGATGGAGGCAGTCGGTTGAAACTTACTTTCCCAACTTGGGGAATTTAGTAGGACAGCGCCGTGTACCCACTGGGGACTAACCTCCTCTTTATTGCTTATTCAAGAGGTTGGAAGCAGAAAATGGCACCGCTGTGTCTGATGTTTTGCTGTCGAATTGGGGGAAATCCTGGGAGCGCAAAGAAAGTGGTAGGAAACCTCTCCCTGAAGTGTCGGAGCAGAATAAATGAGAGAAGACGGGAAGGGTTACTGCCAAGAAAGACGGCCATCAAGCCACAACTTAAATACACATATTCGAGACATGGCCAGTTATTTTGGGTTTGTTTGTTTTTTTAGCATGGCTCGATATGGCTTGGGGAGGCTATTGCGCCTTTCCTCCTCCTCTGCCACCCTAATCCTGGCTCCTCTGTGGCACGGTTTCTCGGTAAGCAGGACTCCAGTTTAGAGAAGCAGGAAATGGCGCCTCGGAGCCAGCCCGAATCAAAGGGCGAGGGCAGCTGAGAGGCCAGTTGGGAACCCCTCTTTGTCCCTGGTGCTGGGGGGGCCCTCTTCTTAGGTCCTGAGATCTAGAAGATTTCAGTGGCAAATCTCCTGATTCTGCCTTACCCAGAGCCAGTGGAAAGATGCTGTGAGACTCTTCCCCGCCGCCCTGCAATCAGCCGTTAGGTTCAGACGAGGAAAGCGCCACCCGGTCAGGGCTGTCGCGGAGGACGTTGCTGCCCTAGGCCGAAGGGGCTTCCGCGAGAAAGGACAGGCTGCGGCCGCTGCCCCTCCTGCGGCCTCCGTGGCGGAAATTGCAGCAGTCGGCTTCAGTTCCCCCGCAGCAGGCCCTTTGGGCAACTGGGCTCCCTGTTTCTGCTACCACTAACATCTTTTTGCGACAGCAGAGCAGGGTGGACCAGAGTGGGCATTGCCCCCCGTTCCCTCAGGTGAGAGCAGGGCCACGTGCCGGGTCCTGCTTCCTGCAGCAGGGAGAGCCCCTTTCCTGGTTCTGCCCTGTCTTGCTCTGCTTTACGAGCTCCATGACCA